GGCTGACCCGGGGATTGTACTCCACGGCCGGCAACACCTCGCCCAACCCTCTCGACAAGGGAGCCGGCGATAAGTCCTCTCCTTCCACTCTGCCGGGCGCGTCGTCTGGAGCGTCGGTCCCCGCGGCGTCGGGCAAGCCCAAGGGCCAAGGCCTCAGCATCGGCCGCCGCCAACCGCCTCGCATCCTGGGCTCGCTCGACCATCCCATCACGCCCTCCCCCTCGCGCCGCACCACCTTCCCGACGATGGACTACCTGACAGTCTACGCCATCGCGGTCAACGAGACGAACGCGGCCGGCGGGCGCATCGTGACGGCCCCGACCAACGGCGCCGCCGGCATCATCCCCGCCGTGCTCAAGTACACCATCGAGTTCATCAGCGACGACCCGGAGCGCGACATCCCGACCTTCCTGCTCACCGCCGCCGCCATCGGCATGCTGTACAAGCGCGGCGCCACCATCTCCGCCGCCGAGGGCGGGTGCATGGCCGAGGTGGGCGTCGCCTGCTCCATGGCCGCCGGCGCCTTCGCCGCCTGCATGGGCGCCAGCCCCGAGGCCATCGAGCAGGCGGCCGAGATCGGCATCGAGCACAACCTGGGCCTGACGTGCGACCCCATCGGCGGCCTCGTGCAGGCGCCCTGCATTGAGCGGAACGCCCTGGGCGCCATCAAGGCCATCTCGAGCGCCAACCTCGCCCTGAGCAGCGAGACGGGCACGCAGAAGGTCAGGCTGGACGACGCCATCCGCGCCATGCGGCTGACGGCCAAGGGCATGAGAAACGAGTTTAAGGAGACCAGCTTGAGCGGACTAGCGACGAGTGTGCCCTTCAACATCCCCGTCAGTGTTCCCGATTGCTGAGCATCGTCTCTTTTGAGGGGGTTTTGTCCCGGGTTTAGATTGGTTTCGGATTAAAAAACTAATAAAAAAAAAACCGGTCTGAGAATACAGCTTAGATGGATCCTTGATCGCTAGATGGATACCAGCATGAGATATGACAACATAGTTTCTCTGGCTGTGACGCTTCAACGGCTCTGATGAAATGCATTGAGGGTTTTGGTTTTAGAAGCGACATAGATGAGCTAGATAGAAGTGAACATCAATTTGCCTTAATGATGACTGTCTTTTAGCAATGCAAGTACATGTGCATACCGTAATCTATCCGGGCCTTGCTTCCTTTTGCGAATAGGCGGCGGTGTTGGTCTTTTGCTAGATGAGATATGCTCATTCCGTTGTGTCGAGACAAACTATCCATTGTTGCTGTGAGATGAATTTCAGCGGCATCATTTCGAATTACCAGCCGTACAAATCTCGCCCATTCATCACATCATCTTATTAGTACAACATTTTGGCTGTCCCACCTTATTCAACAAAGACAATCATCCAAGTGTCACTACGTTGGAAAAGCAGCTGTCGAGTGTCCGACGTATTCACACGCAGACTTGACCCATGGGCACTGATGCATCGTTTCGTTCTACCAGCTCGTTTTATGGGAAAGAAACAACTCTAATTAAAGTCCAAATTATAAGGTATTAATCTATAGGTCTCCGCTCAAAATATAAAGCACTTTTGTCACATAAGAAAGATTGTCCTCGGCTACAGTCTCCAGTCGTCCCCCACTCAGACACCGCGCGGAGGGCGACGGAGGGAGGCGGAGACTATGCCGGAATGGCGCCGGCCGGATCGCGGGGCCAAGACCCTTGGCTGAGCTTCGCCTCGCCTTAGATCTTGCCCTTGTCCTGGACCGTGAGCGTGTAGCCGTAGCTCTGCGAGACCGAGTAGTAGTCCTGGCCCCTCCACTGTCCGTAGTTGGTGCTGTAGCTCTTGTCCCAAGGCTTCGTGTACATGGAGCAGTAGGTTCCCTGGGGGACGTTGTTCTCGCTGAGAACGTAGGCATTGAAGAAGTTGCAGGCGTCGTAGGTGCCGTCGCTGTTCGGGTGGTCGTGGTCGTACTGAGTAGTCGCTTGGCAAGCCGAGGCACACTGGCTGGGGTCATAGGGGCCAGGGTAGTACTTGGACCCCATGTACGAGTTGGGAGCCTGGATGGCGCCGCCAAGAGCAGTCGGGCCGTCAAAGCCGGGACTCGCGGGCGGGGGGGCGTTCTTGTTGTAGCCTTTGGACGTGTTAGTATGCATCGCCGCCGCAAGGACGCGAGGGAACCCGGAAAGATGGGGTCATACCATTGGATCCAGTGATGCCGACTTGGAACTGTTGTCTCCACTGGCCTTGGTTCGTGGCAGTGTCCTGGGAGATCTGGGCACCCCAGAGCGTGCACTTGTAGTTGGTGATGCTCACCGGGTCGACGCAGGTGTCGGTCGGGGTGAACTTGGGGTCTCGCTCGATGAACAGGTTGAAGCCGTAGCATGCAGGAGCGGCGTCACAGTACTGGCCCAGTGTTAGTCACGGTCTTCTCCCGGGGCAGAGCTGACATGGGCATACCTGCTGGCACTGGATGGGGTCGAAATTCCTCAGGGTGTAGAGGCCCTGGTATGCCGGACCCGAGACGGAGGCTTGCAGTCCTTGGAAGACCATGCTGTATCCCTCAGGAACCGGTGCGCTGCTGGAAATGTCGCTAAGCGTTTGCGACGACATGAAAGAGCTGTAGGTGTCGGGCGAGGGCACAGGGCCATAGCCGTCGGGCTCTTGGTTGGAGCCGGTGCAAGTCGAAGCGCGGGCCTTGACGCCCGGCTTTGCAGCTACGACGGGTTTCACAAGCGCGTCTTGGGCGGCAGCGGCTTGTGCCTGTGCCGGGTTGTAAGTTGGCTTTTCGGAGCTGGCATCGACAGCCGGGCCGACCTTGGCCGGCTTGGCCTTGGCCTGCGAATCGTGTCAGTTCATCGAGTGTTCAGAAAGCCAGCGCGAGAGCCCACTTACATCGAAGAGGCTAAGGTCGATGCCGCTCTGAGATGTTGCTGAGCGGGGAACAACCGGGTTGGCAGTGGTAAAGCCGGCGACGGCGGCAAGAATGAGAGTGGAACGCATCTTTGAGATGAGAGAGTGGAGAAGGATGATCAAGATGGTGGAGTTGTTGAAGAAGGGCGTATTCAGGAGCTGGTTGCCAGTTGATGGTGATGAAGATAGTAGTGATAATGAGTGTATGATGAGTGTGATGATCCAAGACAAACTCCTTCACAAAGAGGGAAATGGTACGACTTTATATCTTGATTCAGTCAAGCAATCATCACTTCGTGTTATCGTGGCCTCACCTGAGCAGTATTAGCCCGCACTCCGTTTGAGCGTTCCACGCCAAGCATCTCACAAAGCATAGTTGGGAGAAATGACCTAACCGGTTCGTTGAACCCCCATCGCCCGATGTAAGAGGTGGCTCGCGGGGTGGCGTCAAATAGACCAGCCGCCTTTGTCAGTGCGATAGGCATCGGCTGCCATCAGGGACGCCGTCGGCTCGCGGCAAGCCAGCCTCTTTGTGCTACCATATTTCTCCTTGCCCGCCCGCGTTTCCCTCGATTATTATGCTCTGTCAAAAGATTCGGCCCAGTCATTCTCGTTCGTCTTTTCTTGGCGCGCCAAGTATTAATGGGACCGGGGCTGCCGCTGCTGCAAAGGCGCACACGGTACGCGTAATGGTATAGATGCGCCATGATATCGAGAGGCTGGCTGATCGACCACGTACAGACATACAGGGTTCAGCTTCCCTGCATTGATCTGTGCCAGGAACCGCGCAAATGGACACCAAGTGGGTAAAGATCACCCAAGACCGCTGTCTTAAACGTGTGAGCAGGCAATCATGGTCCCAAAGCACCGGGACCGTCCCAAGTGCTCGGGATTCCCAGCGTGCCAACCTCGAGGGCGAACACATCGTGCTCACGCTCAGACTCACGCCCGCACCCGATGTCGCCCTGCTGGATCTGTTCATCCCACGTGTGATGTGTCTCATAGCTTAGGTCACTCACTCTCGCTCGCTCGGACTCGCTTTAATTGATTAGTGGAAGCTTAACCTTGAGATATATTACTATGTGGGGGTTTAAAGTTGCAAGGGGCATTTTTGGGCCTCCCGATACGCGTCAATAATTTCCAGCCAGCGGTGACGAGTGAGAGCTAGGAAGAAAGAAAACTCGTATCTGTACGCAGAGGAACCATCTCCTAAGCTAGTGCGTCGCGGGGCGCAAGCCTCGATCAAATAACACGACGCACTAACATCTATGACTCGGACATTTTACAGCGAGCCTTTCTCCCGAAATGGATTCTTCGAGACGCCACTTTGATGATTAAGATGATTAAACACCAAGCTCCCCGGCATGTGTTGTGCGCGGTAGACCGACGACATTCCAACTTGTCCTCCAGGATCGGACCCCCTCGTGGAGCTCTATCCCCCCTGTCCCTGGCATTAATATACGCGAGCGCCATCTTCCGATCAAGAAAAACTATCGATCCCAAGGGACCTGAGGACGCGTCTCAGTTTCGTACCGCAGCCAATCGCCATTTGTCCTCGGCATCTTTCAGCTATGCGCTGGCACGCTCAAAAGCACGAAGCGGTCCTAAATATACCTGTCGTCGCCAAAAATCACGCGAGCTGAGTTTCTCTCCGTCGGTAAGCAAGGTCCAGGGAACCAGACGAAGGGGATCGAATCGGAAGTCGGCACAGTCCCGAGCCAGTATGTGTGCACCAGACCACGTCCGACCATCGTCTCACGATGTCCCACGAGTTTTCAATTTGCTACTTTGAGCGAAAAAAAGTACTTGTTGTGCGTCGCTGTCGGTAGCTCTTGATCTTTCAGCTGCCAGGTTGCTGCTGCTCATGGCAGACGTGGATGGTGAGCTGGATTCCGCCTCGCGGCACGCATGAATCACGCATTTGGCGGCTGGGGAATACCAGTAATACAGGCTGGTTTTTGCTCGCTGGATGTCCAACAAAAGGCAGCATCTGATATTGGGCTGCGCAGAGACCGTGTTGCAGTGGATGCTCATCTTGAGCTCACAAACACTCTTGCTGGGTACTGAGGACATTAGTTGCTTTTGGTACCTGATCTTCCTATCGACCATGCGGGCAACTTGGCCGAGCGGTCTAAGGCGCCAGACTCAAGAGACGAAGTTCCACTTTCTGATCTTCCCCGTAGCGGGGGTGTATTCTGGTCTCGAAAGAGGCGTGAGTTCGAATCTCACAGTTGTCACAAGTATTTCTTTTTGCTGCAGGCTTGTGTGGCAGCATCAGGATTCCTGGGAGAGAGGAGAACGCCTCCTTTGGTCGGCTTGTCGAGCCCGGAGACGGACGAATGTTGTTGTTGGTTGTGCGTTCATTTTTTATCCCTGGTTTCTGGACATGGTTGTTCACATTTCGTTTCTCGTCGCGCTGCTGCTCGCCAATCATGCAGTTACAAGTGAGACTGCTGAGCCCTACTCGCGGCGAAGGATGGCGTTGCAACATCAATTTGAGTCTCGTCTTGAGAAACAAGAGATGAGCGATTTACTTCATGAAGAGCCAGACGAATCGACAGAGAGATCTCCGTCGGACCCGCTTCTCCGGGCTTCTCACCGCTGGACCTTTAGGTTTATGCTAATTAGCTGACGTGACGACAAGGTCCATTGTTAGGTATTTGAGTTGTTTAAGGTTGCAAACCTTTTGTCGCGTCGCGGTTCGCTGAATCCGACCATAGGGGTTCCCGAGGTAAGCTTAAAAGACGCTGAACGACACACAAAAACCATCAGATAAAGATGGAGCTTCCTGCATAATTCAAGTGCTCGTTTTTGTTCGCCTTCTTCCCCAATACATGACAAGGAGTGTCTCGGTACTCGGAACAAGTGCCCGGCAATATTTGGTTTGCGCGCCTGGGGTTTCACTTGCATTCGACCACCCGAGCTCGACCGGGAATCTCGCGCTATGCCGCCTCCGTTACAGCGGAACTAGTCACATGGTTGTAGTCGTAGGCATCATTACGTCGACTACTACCGGTTTCTCCAGCTACTATTCCCCCGCACTCTGCAACCCCATGGGATCTTACTCTACACCTTGCTCGCTTGCTCTCTGCCACCCCTCCCCCCATCGAGCATAAGGCCCTTCGATGAAGTGCTTACCGCAACGTTGACTGAGTGGGGGAGGGAGGGTCAACTGCCGATCGTTGAACCGGACAGCTCTCCGCCTCGATTTCATGCGGGGCGGCCAGGGTCACCAGCGAGATCCCCGGTGCTCGACTCAAGCGCCCAGCAGTCTGGCTTGGAAGATCGCCCAGACGGGCTAGGTTGCAATTTCCTACCCCTCGCATCCTCATGACGATGGACGGTCGGCGAGAAGCGTCGGTCTTGGCATTGGAGGGGGTATAAGAGAGTGAATTCGCATGCAACACAAGTGTTCGCCCCTGCAGGTGGGAAGCCTTGCAGTCTTTGATCCACGATCTCGTCATGGCCTTCGCAGTAGTAGTCGCCGCTGGTCTGTTCCTCTCGGGGATTCAGGCACAGTCCCCTTCGGCGTCCGAGAGGCCTCTGCCCGCCGCGGCGCAGGTCATTGATCAAAAGAGCTTCAATGTCTTGGAGGTCGTGCCGCCCTCTTTCGAGTTCAATGCCACGTCGGTACGTCATGCGTACAAGCACACTCTTGTATCCATCTCAATAGACCGATAAAAGGGACTAATGCGGCGACAGGAGTTTCTCTGGCCCGGCGTTACTCATGAGTCCCTCACCGAGAAGCCATTCCACGTGTACGATGCCGAGTTCTACGACATCATCGGCAGTGACCCGTCGTTGACCTTGGTTGCGACTTCGGAAACGGATCCCATCTTCCACGAGGCCGTCGTATGGTAAGCTCGCAAAGACCGTCGGCAAATGCGTGCCGCGCGGGTGGCTGAGATGGTCACAGGTATCCTCCCACGGATGAAGTCTTCTTCGTCCAGAACGCCGGGCCCGCCGCCGCGGGAACGGGCCTCAACAAGTCGTCCATTATCCAGAAGATCTCGCTGGTCGACGCCGAGGCCCTCCGCGCCGGGTCTCTCGGTACCCCTGAGGTCAAGGTCGTCACTGTGCCGTCGAACCCGCAAGTTATCAACCCTAACGGTAATGCGAAACCAAGAACCAGCCAGCAGTAGTTCTGAGGCGTGCAACTTTGCTGATTTGACGCAGGCGGAACGAACTACCAAGGCCAGATCATTTTCGCGGGTGAGGGCCAGGGCGACCGTGTTCCATCAGCACTCTACCTGATGAACCCGGTTGAACCGTACAACACAACTAGTGAGTGGACATCCCGACGACGTCTGTCGCGGCAGGCGGCAACTGACCGGCCGTGCTTCCAGCCCTGGTCAACAACTACTTCGGCCGTCAGTTCAACTCGCTCAACGACGTCGTCGTCAGCCGCCGCAATGGAGACATTTACTTCACCGACACGCAGTACGGGTACTGGCAGGACTTCCGGCCCGAGCCGGGCGTGCGGAACCAGGTCTACCGCCTCAACCCCACGACTGGCGCGTTGACCGTGGTTTCCGACGATCTCGTGTCGCCCAATGGTGAGTTACGGACCCGTGTGCCACCTCACAGGGGCAGGATGCCCGGATGCGTCATCGCATCTTCTCTGTGAACGGGACTGAAATCCATCGGTCCATCCAGGAATCACCTTTTCGCCCGACGGCGCGCACGCCTACGTGACCGACACGGGACTTGGCCGCGGTAACTTTGGTTATGTTCCCACCAACCCAGCCACTGTGTAAGTGCTCTTCTTGTTTGGCTTTTTGCCATTGCCTCTTGGCTTACATCTCTTGTAGCTACCGTTTCGACGTGAAGGAGGATGGCACTTGGGAGAACCGCAAGACGTTCGCCCACGTCCACTCGGGTCTACCAGACGGTGAGTGCCCCACCTCCTAGTGTCGAGGATGGCCACTGACGTACTTACTTTTTGAATAGGTGTTCACACCGATACGAAAGGCAATGTGTACGCGGGCTGCTTCGATGGCGTCCATGTCTGGAACCCATCGGGTAAACTCATTGGCAAGATTTACACCGGCACCGTCGCCGCCAACTTCCAGTTCGCCGGCGATGGGCGCATGGTCATCACTGGCCAGACCAAGCTGTTCTACGCCACTCTTGCAGCTTCCGGGGTTCCATTGTCATAGTATACATAAGTATACACAAATCCATCATCTGAACCTTTGCTCAAGACCTCTATTACCAGGGGATTGGTACCACGACCAACTGGAGGAACATGTTGCTACTCCTTATTCAGTCTGACCAATCTCGTTTAGATATAAAAGTAAATATTACGATAATAAATGCATATCCACATCCATATCCATCTACAGTATATCAACGAGTCTCGGCAATCAGGACCCTGGGTTGCGACAGAAGATCATGTGAAGCTCAGTGACCAGCTGTGATGCAGTGGCTGCCATCTGGCGTTTGGCAGCTGGCAGTCCGATGACATGCCGCATGAGAAAGGTGACATGGGCGCCCCGGCGATTATATGGGGCTGAGATCAGATCCAGCCAACAGGATGCTTCTGTTCTGGATGACGTAGGCAAGCCATGCACTCCAAGCCACCCATTAGCCACCTAGGTACCTACCAAGGTACGTACCCACCCAGGTAGGCAGTTTATGCCTTGAACAACAGAAGTGCGCCGTCGTCGAGCGTTGCATTACCGACTCACGATCTCCAACTCCAGCCAGGCCGACGACTACCCGCCGCAAGCACTATCGCCAAATGTCAGATTCACAGCCGCCGGCGTGGTCATCGCGCGCCGACCACCTCCTCCGACCTGTCCAGCGGCCGGTCGGGTACCTGAAGCGCGCCGGCATCGCGGCGTGGTATCCCCTCCTCGGCATCTGGTACTTTTTGCGGAACAGGGACTTCTACCCGCTGTTCCTGAGCCGCCTGCTGCCCCTCTCCATCATCTCCTTTCTCGTCTACTTCATCCTGTTTACCTTTGCGTTCCTGCCCCAGTTCGCCCTTCTGGCCATCTTCCACGGATGGGGCGCTTGGGTTAACGCGGTGGTGCTGGTCCTCGGAGAGGGGCTCGTGGTGATCCAGGGTCTTTTTGAAGGCTTCTTCGTCGACGAGTGTCGAGTGGACGTATTCGATGTGAGTCTCACATCTGTCTCTATGCCTCCCTCTCTCGATGTGTCCCATACTTGTGCTGACGGCTACGCCATCCAGGCCACTCTCATCAAGGAATCGCACGTAGATCTCGTCGCACCCCACCGGATTCTCTTTCACGACGCCCCCACCGCAGTCCAGATGCTCGGCAAGCCGACGACCCCTGCCGTCTTCACACCCTGGTCCATGATCCAGATCATCGAGCTCGTCGTCTTCCTGCCACTCAACTTCGTCCCGGTGGTCGGCACCCCGGCCTTCATCATCATCACGGGCACGCGGATGGGCAAGCTGTCACATTACCGATGGTTCCACCTGCGGGGGTTGAGCAAGAAGGAGGCCAAGAAGGAGATCGAGTCGAGGACTTGGGAATACGTCTGGTTCGGCACGGTCGCCATGATCCTCGAGCTGATCCCCGTGCTGTCCTTCTTCTTCCTGCTCACCACGTCGGCGGGGGCCGGCCTTTGGGCGGCGAGGATCGAGGACAAAAGGAGGCAGGAGGCCACAGAGAGCTTGGTGGGAGAGTCTCTTCCGCCGCCGCCGCCCTACGAAGACGACCCCGTCTAAAATGCACCACCGCGTTGGGCTTGGCTGTGTTGCACCTCACTTTAGCAAGCAAGCAAGCAATAGACCATTCGTCCGCCCCTTTCTCTGTACTCGAACAGGGAACGCCCAACACGACCACAAGTTCGTAGTCTTCCATTTGCCAAACGGCCTATATCTGTGCCAGGCTTCGGCCGCCTTGACGAGGCACACCGAGGGGCCGCGTCCTGGATTACAACGCAGGAAGTGACTGAGAACGCTGCTCCTTCCATTGTGTGTCCGGAACGGTTCCGGTTCGACGGAAAGATGACGTGACTACCTACACGGCGCGATGATCTCCGGCACTGGAAGTCTACGAGTGTGACGGAAGGCGCGCCGTGCTCGATGGTCCTGCCTTTCCTTCCCTACTTACATAGATACGTACTTACATGGCATTTCCAGGGTTGTGCGGGTGGGCTCATGTTTTTGGTGTCAGAAAACACATAGATGAGGGGAAGAGCAGTCGTTGGAAGGAACAGCACTTACAAGTGTCCTGGATTGTGTGATGGGCTTATATAACTC